GTATGCAAAAACCTTAATACAAAGCGCCATTTACAAGGCCATATCGGGTTTCGCCAACAACTATGGGATTCATGGGATGGAAAGTGCTTCCTGGTGCTTGGAGCGATTATGTCTTCCCTTCCCAAACGATGACAAGCAAGTGGAAACCCAAATTGAAACTGTTGACAACAGACGTGCACAGCTTAGAGTTTGGCTTCTGGGGTCACAATTCGGGATGGGTATCTCGTGAAAGTTGCGGAGATCAATGGGGTTTCGTACTAATAAAAGCCACATGTTTGGAAACTCAGATCTCCTTCGAGTGCTTCTTGCAGATGGCTGTCCTGACAACAGCGCAGATGCGCCTTTAAAACTGGGTCCAATTACTTTTCACTTGGTATCCGCACTTTGACATCAAAAGGGTCATTGAGCAAACTCGAACAGCCGTGAAGTGCTCAGTCCCTCGGTTTCCCAATTTGAACACTGTGAACAACTGATGGAACAAAAACTGGTGTCCCAAAAACTTCCACAGTGTCCCAATTTTTTCATCCAAAAACTGCCCAAAAAATTCCGGCCCACTTTCCTCGACGTTCGCCACGGGCAGATCAAAGGTTTCTCCCCATTCAGGGTCCAGGTGCCGCACCTTGACACTGCTCACCTGCCCAGGGGATCGGATGGGAAAAATGCCTTTGGAAAATGATCTACAAATGGTGGGGGAAACGGCGCTTGTCCAAATCGAACTGTTAGTTGATAGGAGACTAAGCAACTAAAAACAGGGAATCAAAAAAAACCAAGAGGTAGAAGATTCATTAAGAAAGAAGGGACAAAAAGACTCAAAACATGAGTCGAAACCATCAAAATTGGCAATTTCACCAACGGATATGGCATTAATTCTGGGATAGTGACAATTCTAGTTGTATCTTTTGTTCGCCTCATAAGAATATCCCCTCACATCCCAAAAAAAACATATCGAAGTCCCAAGCTTAATCTACATGGTGTGTGTGTCATTGGATGCCATTGTTTGATCCCCTGCGGTGTCATGAGTCACATGGCGCAGCCCACCGTTTATAGAGAATTTTCCCATATCTTCCCAGATTTTCCTCTGATGTTCCCATTGAAACTTGCCGTTTAAGGATCTTCTTCTTCTTCTTGCGTGCCATAGGTATGGTTTGTGAAAAACGGATGTGAAACTAACTTAGAAAGGCAGGTGCCATACCCGTAGGCTCCCCGCAGCATCGTTGCCCCTCAGTACAGGAACTCCTTGGAGTAGAACTATAGATTAGTTCGACTTAGTTACGATGTCCAGGATACAGCCTGGTAGGAAAATGTTACTAGATTTCTTTGTTGATAGCTGCTTGCAGTATTTGAGCAAGTTGTGCGTTGGAATTGTTGAAATCACTTTGGTCATTACGAATTTTACGCCATATCATAGTCAAGGTGTTTTGCGTCCATTGTTTCCTGGGTCTGCCGACCCGTCGGAACAATACCTCAACAGGTGCGGCGGTATCTTTTTTGAAACTGACCATTCTCATAGGGCTGTCATTGTCTTGTCTCAAAACTTTCGCTGCAAGTGCGATGCGACGATGGGCCAAAATGTCCTGAATTGGTTCAATTTTGGTTCCATGATGGTTCGCTGCAATGTGCAAGTTTGCTCTTCTGAAAACCTCCTCATTTGTGTTTGCACGATTGATGTAGGTCGTAGTCATGCCTAGGATCTTTCGCAAACCTTTCAACTGAAAAGATTCTAATCGTGAAAGGAGAGCCACTGGAATCTCAATTGTTTCCAAGGCATAGAGAAGTTTTGATTGAATGACTGCATTATAAATTAGAATTTTGTTTCTGGTACTGCATTGTGCTTCTTTCCAAAAAATATCCAAACTCTTCCAAGTCGCCATAGCTGATGCAATTCTGTTGGACACTTCTGACGCAATGTTAACATGTTTGGTCAAAATTCCGCCCAAGTAAACGGCTTCTTCCACGTGCTTCATGCGAGATCCATCTTTAAAACGAATACAGTTGTGACCGTTCATTGCCAAAACGTGACATTTGTCGTGGTTGAGTTTTAGTCCGTAGTAAGCTGATTCGTCTTCTATGGCATGAAGCAACAAGTTCATGCCAAATGTGTTTCGGGAAATCAGGAGCGTGTCATCTGCGTACAGGACTTCATTAAAACTGATTTGGTCAAGCCTACATTCTGAAAGGTCCCTGTAGTGTTCTACGCCAATGTCGTGAAACAGAACAGTCATGACGAGTATAAACAGAAATGGGGAGAGTGGGCATCCCTGACGTATGCCGGCATCTTGAGATTTAGCATGCGATAGAAAATTTTCATGTTTCACTTGGAAGGAAAGGTCCGTGTAAAAACTTGCAATAAGATTTCTGAATTTTCTTGGTAAGTTCAACCTCTCCAAGGCCTGCATCATCCGCGGGTGTGAGATCCGGTCGAAGGCTTGCTTCCAGTCTAACATACATATCACGATATTGTCCCCAGATCGTTCTCCCAAATCTTGCAACCTTCTGGCTATGAATAACGCGTCCGTGGTGGAACGGTTTTTTCTGAACCCGAATTGGGTATTACAAATGTATGGGTCAATTACGTCAGAAAGCCTCTGTCTAATGATTTCAGCAAAGATCTTATAAATAGCATTCAACAGAGAGATGGGTCTATAATTAGCAATGTTTTCAGTGCCTCTTTTTTTAAAAATAGAAACAACTTGGGCATTTAAGAAATCTGATGGGATAGCTTCCTTGGACCACCACCCATTCAATACGGAAAGGAGAGCTGCTCTGTTTTGTACATCCAAATATTTGAATAATTCAGCCTGAATGCCATCAGGGCCGGCAGCTTTGTGGTTCTTCGCTTTTCGTAATGCTGCATCAAGTTCTGTCATAGTTATTTGATCAAGATTATAGGGCAAGTCACTTTGGATGATTGATCTCTTAGTAATTGACGGCGGTAGGATGTCAGCTTTCCACTGCACAGCATGTAAATAATCAGCAACTGCTCCTGCACGCCCGCGGGGGCCGACCCTATTTCCATCTTTATCTTTCATTTTGGTGAAATTGGGTGTCCGCTTCTTTTTGATGATTTTTATTCCAGCCCATTGCTCTCTAGATGGTAAGGTATCTTTCAACTGTTCGAGGATATGTCTTTTTTTATCTTTCTTAGCCTCTTTTTTGATCTTCTTAGTAAGTTCAGATAAGATATCATGATTGCCATTGTCATGTTCTCTTTGCCTTTGCAAGATCAGGTCCCATGTATGTTCAGAAATATACGAACGACGTCTGCCGAGCGGTGTTGGTCTCAAATTTACACGTGCTGCTTTACGGATAGAATCAAGGAAGGTTTTGGCTTCCGCATCACTCGCCTGGCGCAGTGTATCTGAAATGAACTGGTTATAACTGGCTTTTTCTAGTGGAGTATGGGGACTATATGTAATCTTTTTGACCACGGTAGAACTAAGCTGCTTCCTTCTGACGCGGCATTTCGCACAAACAATGAAGTGATCTGATTCAGTGAAGATTTCAGGGGATGAGGACACGTCAACCAAAGTGTTTTTCCACCTGTCAGGAACCAAAACAAAATCAATCTGAGCAAATCTATCCGGGGACCAGGGAGGTCCACCTAGCACGCCAGCTTCTCTGAAGGTCACCTGCTTTGACACAGGTTTTTGAAATAATGTGTTACCAATGTGGAGGTCATGTGCCAAACAAAATTCTACAAATAGGCTTCTGTTCTCAAATGAAGCTGGGCTAGAATTGTGGATCAAGAAGTTCAAGCCACGTCCAAAAATGTGCTGTCCAATACAACAAGCTTCATTCTCAAAACGGGCATGCAGTCTTGCATTGAAGTCTCCTACGATGAAGGTTGGATGACTATTGGGGAAACTGACCAAATTACGTTCCAGCGTTTCATAGAAATCATTCTTTAATCTGGTCTCAGTACCGCTTTGTGGCGCATACGCATTTAGGAAATGGAGAGGCGGCCCAATCATATCCAAAGTTACGGTCATGATTCGACCATCAATTTGCTTAAAGTCTAAGAGTGTAGCTTTTGCTTTTGGGGAAAGAATAACACCTGTGCCTCCATGTTCAATGTCAATTGGGGGTGCATGTCGGACTCCATTTCTTTGGCGGCCTCTAGCCGTATTTTCTGCTCTGGTTTTATCGGCTTGTTTTTTTTGAGCATCCGTTTTGCTTGTGGGGTATATGAAACAAAAGCCCTCAATCGTTTCGGTCGAATTTGTATTTATGTGAGTTTCCTGAAGAAAAAGCATATCTAGGCCGAGTTTCCTCATGGAGTGAACCAATACTTCTTTTTTGGTCACGCTGTGTTCACTCGCAAGACCACGGCAATTCAATGAACCAAATTTAATGTAAGAATTCATAGTCCATCTGGCAGCAGAGTCTTGCTGATAGTTAGGGTCATCAGGTTTTTTGGGGTTACTTAAGGTCTTTTCTTTATTACGATATTTGTGGAAACCATCTAGCCTGGAATGTGCAGCAGTAAGGAAGAAGTTCCGTGCGTCAAGGCATGGCTGAGGGGTATCCTGAGCCAAATTGTGAAAACCCGCCGGCTTGGCCTTGCCAAAGCGGGTTTGCAACACAGCCTTCTTATAAATGCGGTATGAAATTCTGTTCTCTCTGCGGTTCTCTGTTCGTTTAGTTTTTCGTTTGTTTACAGCGTCTCTTGAACGTAGGCCTCTTTTATGACTCGCTCTTGGCAATTCGAGTTTGTGTTTTGAGTGCTGTGTTGTGAGACCATTTCGTCTCCGCAGAAAACTCCGGTGGGAGATTTGCGGCCGACCCAGCCCACCTATGGAAGGTAGGACGCCAGCGTTTAAAAATTGGGATTCGGTTGTTTTTTGTCTAGTCTCTTTTTGGTGACGAAGTCCGCAGAGCTGCGGTATCATTGGAGCAAAACTAGAATTGGTGTCGTTTTGGTTTCGAAGTCCGTGTTTCCACGGTATGCTTGGCCAGCCGCAAAGCCCCTATGGATCCTCATCGTCCTCAAGCGGACGGACCCTTACCAAATGCACCTTGTAGAGGTAATCTTGGACGCCTCGGGCTGTGCTTGAGGAGGATTTTGCCTTTCCCTTTCCTTTTCCTTTTTGCGTTGTGAAGTCTTCGTCTGAGTGTCGTGTTGTTACTTTTTTCCAAGCAGTTGCTAATCCTTCTTCGGCCATTGGGAATAGATCCTCCCGGATGAGAAGCTTCACTGTCCCATCCGCGTCGTTGAAGACACACTTCAACAAGTTGCCGTTCTCTGTTGCAATGATGTTGGCAGCCCAGTTCTTGTGAAGGTTTCTTGTTTCTTGATGGTATTCGCAGTTTGGGGTGTCATTGATCAATTGTAGGAATGCCTTCATGGGGATGCTCCTGATTCGGTCGGGTGTGGAGATTTGCTGCTTGACCCTCAGGAAGTAGGGGGTGCCAGAACTGTCTCTTGGAATGCTGTTGTCGGAATGCCAGTATGGCAAGGGGTGTCTGTCTGATGTGATTCTGCGGGCGCTTTCCAGGAACTTCTTTGTAGCCCATACACTCCTGAAGTGTAGGATGGAGATTCGGGAAAGGACTTCACCTTGCCGTTTAAGGATGATTTATGGATTTCGGAGCTTGCCATGTTTAAGATCATGGATCCTGCCTGCCGCAGGCACAGCAAACCCTTGGGGTCAGCTGCGCAGGCCGTGATCTCGCACATAGGATCTGAGGTTGTCCTGGCACCAACGATGGCTATCCGAAAATGCTGGGTCAAGGGCCCAATTGATGGCCATTTTCACGGGGAAAATGAAGATTTCAACCATCAAAACCTTTGAGAATCATTGAGATCAACCGTTTTCAGACTGTTCTTATTTTCAACCCATCTCCCGTCCTCAACTGCATCTTATCCTGTCGCGGCAAATGTTGTGCTCGGATGAGGTGCACTCGCCAGGCGCCTCACAACGGGCAGCGTTGCTGGGGTCCGCAACTACTTCACAACCCAACTTGGGGTGATTGGTTCATCAAAAACCAATGGATAAGGAAAGGCTGAGCAAGGCCCACCTTTCATCCGCGAGGGCTGTGGAAAGGGACGCCAGGTGATGGAATAGGTCAGTGTGGCGGATCCGCGCCAGCCGTAGTCCCCCACCACGTGGTTCCCGTCCTGCAGGGGTTGAAGCAATAGAAACAGTGCATTCAACTCATTCAACCAACAAAACTATGACTGGCCAACTGATGTGGTGAACTGGTGATTTTGGCGGGATCCTGGGGTTGAGAAAAAAAAAGATCCAAACCACCAAGTCCCACCAAATAACCAGTAGTTCATCTTTCGCAATTCGAAGAAAAACATCCAAGAACATGGAACTGATGATCATGGGAGGATGCCCAAAAAAAGAAGATTTGGAACTACCCTCTGGTAAACTAACAGTCTGCTATTGAAAATGGCCATAGAAATAGTGGATTTACCCATTAAAAATGGTGATTTTCCATAGTTATGTTAGTTTACCAGAGGGTATCCCTTCTCTTTGTTTGCCGATGTTTCTTCAACAGTTCGCGAGCAGGGCCTTGGAGTTGAGATCAGCACATGTCTCAGGAGTCTCCTGGATGCACAAAAATCCCCCAGGAATGAGAGCATACTTGCTAGTCCATAGATAATAAATATACAGTAGATATCGTAAAGATCTATAGATACAATATATATATATATAATCCATACGTCATATACATATGTATACATAATGTATGGATATTATATCATAAATATTTATAAATATATAACATCCCATAGATATCATTAGATATATATATATATACATATATACATACATATATGTAGATAATGATATTTCTAGATGGTTTGGCCACCACTTCGCACCTCCACCGGCACACAGAGACGACCAATGAAGTCGTTCCTCACTACGGCATGGAGCTGTATGGCTCTGGTAAATCAACAGTTCGCTTCCAAAAATCACCATGAATAATGGTTAATAATGATTAATAATGGTGATTTACCAATATTATAATGGTGAATAATGGTTAATAGTCATTGATTATTCCAATTAATAATAGTGAATAATGGTGAACAATTGGAATAATGTGGGTAAAACAATAGGATTTACATGATTTACATGGATGATGGTGATTTAATGGGGAAAAATCCACGGAAATCCCTTAGAAAATGGAGGTTTTAATGGGAATAATGTGGGTAAAACAATGCCATAAACCACCCATGACTGGGAATGGTCAACATACCAGAAATAAACATGGTGATGACTGGGGGATGGTTTATGGCGTTGTTTTACCCACATTACCACAATACTAGGAAAATCATCTACAAATGCGCCATCTATACCATAGCAAACTGTCAAACTATCAGAGGGTACAAAACTGTCCAACAGCAAACATTTGAAAGGAAAACAGCCTACAAGTTCCGTTGCACCCCACTGGGCTGCCCAGCTCAGACATGGAATCGAAATCGCAAACTTTGAAGGTCAACAACGACCACCTTAGCTGCACGTCTCATCAGCATCATCTCATGCCATGAAATGCATGGAAACCTTGCTACACCCAACTGCCTACGGGTGGAGCAAAGGTGAGTTCCTGGCTGAGACACTTCTTGGTCCGGCTGGGTATCTAAGAAACTGTGATCGAGAGCATCAAACCGGAACGGAACTGAAAGGGGTAGAAATCCACCAAAATCCAAGAGTAAAACAATCCGCCGAAATGTCAACTTCCGTATTGGATTGTTGAGGTAGCGAAACTCCAAATTCTTGAACTAAGATGGCCACCCAGTATGTGGTTCATGCATCCTGATGACCATGGTTGCTTCAGTTGTTTCACAAGGATTTTTGTTGTTTTGATATCAAAGTACCTCAATCCATGGTCTCCTCTATACACTGAACCCCCACGATTTGATGACTCAGAATTGCTCATGGTGACCTCCATTCTATCCAGATAAATCATGACAAATCCCAATTGAATTCCGATTTCTTGCCAATTGGTTTGTTTCTGAAAATTTCCCCCATTCAAACGGTTTTAATTTGATCTAAATTGGGGGTATCCCCCATTTTCAGACAAACCCAAATGATATCAAATTGGTGATATATCCCATGAAAATTATGTCATATCTCCATTGATTCCCCACTATTGCCAGGTCGCTTGCTACAACTGAATCGATGTTGATATGCTCGCGCTGCCTCCCAAGCCAAGCGGTCGATACCACCTAACAGCTGAGCGGAAAAATGCAGAGAAATCGCCGGTTCAGATCTATAGTCGTCTATATCTGTACCTAATATAAATATAAAATACATGCATATGTATATGTAACATGTGTATATACATATATGTATT